CCTCTAGAACCCTCAGTTTGTTTTTCAGAGTCCATCGTCTGTCATGGTTCGTCTACTTTCTTTTTTTGTTTTTTAACATGTTTTTCTACCAACATAGCAGCTTGACTGGTTTATCTATTTGTTGAGTTTTGCATATCTCTTTAATGGTATTGGTTCTTCTCAAGTGCTTGGTGATCCTTGGTTGCATACTTCCTTTTGTATTTGTGATTCCTAGTTCACCTGCTTGTGGATGTTGTTTTTGCTATGTCCTGCCTTAGGTGATGGTGGAAGAGGGAAGGAATATTCTGCCAGGGAAAACATGCCTATAGTTGGCCTGTCTCAGTTTGGAGTTCTTTATCCATTCTGGAGATCACTCTGATTTCTGTCCCCAGTATCCACACTCACTGTTTCAGATAGGCTGCATTTACTTCTGTGTCCCATAGCTCAATCCAGATAGGGCAGGATTATAGGGTTGGTAGGAGCTAATTACCTTAGCTGCTCTCTGCCTGATCATCCTGACACTAATTTGAGGGCTCCCTTTATTTTTTTTATTTGTTGTCTATGAAATTGTACCTGTTGACTATACTTTTCTTTCTGCCGTCAAATAGAACTTTCACTTCTGTGTGTAGCTTAGGCTGTGGTCTTCTATAATTTTTTCTTTCCTTAAATTTGATTTTATCCTCTTTATTATGTCTTTACAAATTCCTCAAAATGTCTGGTCCCATTGATTATATACCTTCAAGTGTTACACGTTGTTTGCATGTATCTTCTCCAATGTTTTATGAGATTGGGACCAGAAGGAGCAATAGGAGCGTATATTAAGCCTTCCATTTTAGCCCAAACTTCTAATTGATGTTCTTTAAAAAATTATTTATGACTCTTATAATGGTGTACAATAATGGTGGTTATTGCTAAATAAATTGTGTGGCCATACAGTATACAGTGATATGTTACTTTGGCCATTTGTTATGTATTACCCTATTGAACAGGTTAATTTAGTAAGATTTTATTTAAGTAGAAATTATTGAAACTACATTTTAAAGGGTTTTTTTCTGAGGGACACAATTATTAAAATCTTAATTATAATTTCATCAATTAGTTCTATCTTCTGAGCATATGAATAGGTAGGGGGTAAAAGCATTATTGCTTTATTAGCTTACCTGTAGAATGTTTCAAGTCAGTAGCAAACTATTTCAAGGTTGATTATCATCTGAGAAAAGAATTTAATTCTCATTTTGTCAGTAGTGCAGATTAGCTATTCAAGTTGGATCAGTTAGCATGAAAACTCTCCCTTTCCTCAAAGCGTAGTTCAAATTTTCTTCTCTGGAATCTTTCAAACTCTCCAATAGTTGTTTCCCACTCTATACTGCCATGATGTTTTTGTTGTATTATATTAGTTATATGATTTATCAGTATATTGGGTGTCTTGTTTTATTACAGGTTACACTTTACCAAACTCTGAGCTTCTCCATGTTTTGTTCATGTTTGCAATCTTGGCACTATATTTAAACAGTAGTTGGGTCAGAATAGCTTTAGAAATGGAAAAATGTATATTAACTCTTCCTTCTACAAGATGAAAAGGCTTTTGATTCCTTATCTCAAAACTCAATTCCACTTATGAACTGTGGAAAATCCTGAGATCATTTTTACTTTGGATTAATGAATTTTAATAATGCAACATTTAAGTTTGATGTGAAATAGGTTCTTCGTTTTTATGAGGTGACAATTATCATATGGGTTTGTGAATATTATGCAATTATGTGCTGACTTTGAAAATGTTATATTGTGTTAAAAAAAACTTAATCCTATTTTTAGAATATATATTTAACAGGAAAAGCCCAGTATTTTAGATTTGTCATTTTCTTTTTTTGAAGGATCAAAGTAACAATGAAATTATGATTGGAGTGATGTCAGGAGGAATTCTGATTTATAAGAACAGGGTACGAATGAATACCTTTCCATGGTAAGAACTTCCATCAATACTTTTGCTTTTACCATTATATTACCAAATATAATAATCCATATTAAAGAAAGTGATTGTTGGGGTGCCTAGCTGGCTCAGTCAGAGGAGTGTGGCTCTCTTGACCGTGGTCAGGGTCCTGAGTTCAAGCCCCACATGGGGTATAGAGATTACTTAAATAAAACTTAAAAAAAAAAAAAAAGAAAAGAAAAAAGAAAGTGGTTGTTAAACTCTATTAATGTTGTCGTGTAACTTACCCCACTTGAAATCTATTAGAGAATACCAAAATAATTTAATTATTTATTTTTAAATGCATCATCCAGACAGGGCAGTATTTATAGAGAATACTACTTCATGAATTTTTCTCTTGGAGAATCTCTGAATTTGTACTAGCTAATTCTGTCATGTTTACTCTGTCTTGTACCATGTTGATTGCTTTAAGTCAGTATTTCATCTAAGTGCATTCAGTGGGGTGCTAGTTTATTAATTGGAACATGGGCATGGTTGCTGCATCTAAGATCCACTGTCACAGTGGTTTAAATTGGTGCTAGGAAAATATGGTGGCTCCTGGGGTTTAAAACTCCTCTTTCTTTAGTTTTACTACTCTACTATCCTTAGCATGTTGTCCTCATTGTCCAGGATGACTCATCTACCATTACTTCTGTATCCCAGAATGAGGAAAAAGGAAAAGTAGCATCTGCCACTTTCCTTGAGGGGATAAATTGAAAATCATAAAAATCACATCAGTCATGTGTCTTATATATTATAGGAGTAGCTCTGGTTTTTTAAAATAAATGGAATGATTTTCTTTAGCAGAACAAATACAAAAGAAATACATTGTATTAATCTGTTTTTCTTTACATCTCCTTTTAAAAGATTTGGTCTGATTTTTCACTATCTGATTTTTATTTAGTAGGTTTTTGTAATTAGTCACTTTTATAACACTTAAATAGGAATATGATAAGTGACAGAAGCAACTGTTTTAGAAAATAGCCACAACTTTGTTTAAAAAATAAAGATAAATTTCCTAGATAGGTCACAAAAAGATATGAACCAGAAAATACAAAAATTGAAATGACCATCATGACAAATACTTTTGCTCTACAAAAGACACTTTAAAGAAGTTGAAAAAGCAAGACACAGTCTTTTGTAAAATATATATTTGATAAAGGACATATTATGAATATATAAAGAACTTTCATAGCTCAGTAATAAGACAGTCTGATTAAAAAGAATAGGCAAAATATTTGAATAAACATTTCCACCAAAGGACATATACAGATGGCAAATGAGAATATGAAAAGATGTTCAGTCATCAGTGAAATGCACATTAAACCACAGTGAACTCACCCACAGAATAGCTCCAGTTTAAAAAAAAATGACAATACCAAATGATGGCAAGAAGCAGAGCACCTGAAATCTCATACATTCCTGGTGGGAGTGCAACCTAGTATACCAACTCTATTTTTTAAATTTTTTATTTTATTTTTAAAGATTTATTTATTTGACAGAGAGAGAGGGGGGAGAAGCAGGCTTCCCGCCGAGCACGGAGCCCGATGCGGGGCTCGATCCCAGAAGCCTGGGATCATGACCTGAGCCGAAGGCAGACACCTAACCCTCTGAGCTACCCAGATGCCCCCTAGTATACCAACTTTAGAAAAGAGTTTGGCAGTTTCTTTAAAGTTAAACCTAGATTTACCATATAATCTAGCATTTCTGTTCCTGGATATTTACCCAAGCGAAATGAAAACCTAAGTTCATAAAGAGATTTTCACAGTGATGTTCATAGCTACATTATTTATAGCAGCACAAAACAGACGTACAAATATCAGTTGGTGAAAGGATAAAGCAAGTTACGGTACACTTCCACAATGGAAAACTGTTAAGCAATAAAAAGAACTGTTGGGATGCCTGGGTGGCTCAGTCGGTTGACTTCAGAGGGACACCAAGGGAACATTTTGAGGTGATCAAATGTTATATGATGATTTTGGTGGCTGGTAGTTACATAACTGAATACATTTGTCAAAACTCTGAATTGTTCATTAAAGTTGGTATATTTCATTTTATATGTAAATAACACCTCTATAAAGTCCATAAAAGAAAACTAAGTATCATTTAGTGTTTCATCTTACATCTTTTAAACACTTACTATATAATTCAAACCCTGGTATGTTCAGAGGATATAAAACAATTCAAGACATAGCCCCTGCCTATTAGTGGACACACAAGAATTAATTATAAAATTAATAACGATAAGAAAAAATGTAATTAAAATCTTCAGAGAAGATAATTATCATTGTCAGTTTTTACAACAGTGAAATAATAAATGCACATCTTAGATTTTAATACACTTCTGATTTTACTAGAGACAATTTTAAAAAATATTTTATGTTGTATTTTATATCTTATACAAATGTCAAAATCTGAAAAATTGTTTTCAGATGATGTGGATTAAAATAACTGATAATATAAATTTTTCTGTATTTTCAAAACCCTATCTTGTATATATATTCCTTTTTTATTGTTACAAAGATTTTAGAAGAGTTTTTGACTTTTGTTTTGGAAACACAAAGGATACAGTCTCTCTAGGGAAAATTTTAATGGCTCCATGATATTTGAGATTGTTTTTATTTTTTTTTAAAGATTTTATTTATTTATTTGCAGAGAGAGAGAGACAGCGAGAGAGGGAACACAAGCAGGGGGAGTGGGAGAGGGAGAAGCAGGCTTCTTGCTGAGCAGGGAGCCCGATGTGGGGCTCGATCCCAGGACCCTGGGATCATGACCTTAGCCAAAGGCAGATGCTTAACGACTGAGCCACCCAGGTGCCCCTTGAGATTGTTTTTAAAGGATGAATGGAAATTTCCTCAGTGAAAAAGGAAATGTGGAATAGGTATGTGTGGATTTAGGGAATTCAAGTAGAGGTAACAAGCATTTGCAGAGACCTAATTGTAAGAAAGGGTATGGCAAGTTGAGGAAATGATGAGCTGTTTCGTTTGGTTTCTCCTTCAGTTGTCTTTACTGAAGACAGAAACAAAGGAATAAGAATTTAGGAAGATGTTTTGTAGAAAAATTAGATTCAGATTGTGAAGGATCCTACATATTCTGTATGCTAAGGAGTTGGCATATTACTTTATTGGTAAATATGCTTAGAACTAGTTTAATGTTGAGAAATAAAACTCACACTTCCAAGTCTTTGTCATACAAGTTAGGTTGAAAAAGTATGTGAATATTTAAGATCTTGATTGGAAAGTATATATTGTTTGTTTTAAATTTTATTTTATTTTTTTATTTTTATTTTTTAAAGATTTTATTTATTTATTTGACAGAGA